TCACAAAAGAGCAAGGTGGCTGTTTCCTCTAGCTTGGAGTTGCTGTGAGGGTTGCTAGGTTGTAGGTTGGGCTGTGGCCTGTCCGCAATCAGTAGCTTTACCCTGATGGGCTAGCTCCTGAGACACTCAATCAGCCCAGTCTGGAGCCAATCTCAGAATTTATGTGTACCAAGTTTCCAATTGCTCAAGGGCTGGAGTTGCTTCCAGTGCAGCAGCTGGGTAGTCTAGTCTCTAGCTCTGTTTACCCACTAAGGAGAGTCTGCCCCACCTTAGTTTAAGCTGCCTCTGCTTGGGAGAGGCAACTCTCCCCAGGGGTGAAGCTGAGCCCTGCCACAGGTCAAATCATGCTAGCTGCTCTGGCTGGGTCTGTGCCAGTATCAAAGATGGAGTTTTTCTCTGGTGGTGGGGGAGGGGCTACCTTCCCACTGCTGCTCAGTGAAAAGGAGTGAGGATGTCTTGTGGTACTCACACCTATCCCTCGGTTTCTGGGTCATCCCCATCCTTGGTCTGTGACTGACTGTGGTTGGCTGAATGAAGATTTCCAATCCTATTGGTTCTTGCTTGTGGTAAGTAGAATCTGCTCTGGCACTTTTGTCCCGGGCACTCTGTGACGAAAATGGCGGCAGCTGCTGCTACCGCATCTAACCAGGGTTGCTTGGATCTGTATCCTTAACTAAGCTACCTGAGTTTTTCCTCTCTCAAACTCTGTACTATGATAACACACTTGGTGTGTCTCTCTAGCTTTAGATTTTCCACTGGAATACTAATACTGATTTCTACAGAAGAACTTGCTTAGCCCCCAGCTTCTCCTCCACCATCTTCCTTTCTTCACAGATTATCTTTTTGCCTGATAATAAACAGGTGAAGGTTGTTTGTAATGATTTTGCTCCTTTTCATGAAATTCATTAGTTGATTGAAATAATATGTAACATCTTAAAGGAAAACTGACAGATATATATAAAAAGATGATAAAGATTCTAAGAATTTATCATAGCTAATAGTTTCTGATTCCAAAAGTACTTGAGAGGATCCTAATCAATATAATTTTTGGGTCATTATGCATGCATGCATTCACTTATTTAGCATTGTTTGGACACCAGCTGTGTGCCAAACTTTGGAATTGATGCCAAAGAAAGGATGAAGAGCAAAAAAAAAAAAAAAAAAGGTAACTGCCTCCAAGGAGTTGACAGAATGTTGAGAAGGGCAATGAAAACAATTTTACCCACACTAACTTTTCCAAGACACATAGTGCTGTAAGGAAGATTTGATTGCTATTGCATGTGTTTGAAAATTCAGACAAAAGCATTTATAATGTTTTCATAGCAGTTTTTGAGGATATAGTAACGCTATCAATAGCTAAAAGAGCCTCAAATAAGTATGTATCTTAGATATTTAAGAAGAGTATTTTTTTAAAAAAGTCATAACTCCCTGTTTTCCATCTGATTCTTTCTCTAAGCAGGCATATTGACTTACTTGCACCATGTCCTAGCATCCCAATTTATGACAGCTCAGTGTCCTGGAGGACTGTCACCAAGGCAGACCTCAGAGATGCATACTAGTGGGTTGCCTATAGCTCACCTTTTGCCTACCTGTCCTCATCAGAACAATGGCTGAACTGTGGCCATGGTGATTTAGGGAGACTCTGAATGCAAACATCCTGAGATGCCTATTTAGGACAGTATAAAGACATTTAGTTTGCCAACACCCAGAAGTTTGTACACTGCCCTTTTTCTCAGTAGAGAAGAGAAAGATGATGCTGGATGTCAGTGGCTCATAACCGTAATCCTAGCTACTCAGGAGGCTGAGATCTGAGGATTAAGGTTCAAAGCCAGCCTGGGGCAGGAACGTCCGTGAGACACTTATCTACGATAAAACACTCAGAAAACTAGCTGGGCACCGGTGGCTCACGCCTGTAATCCTAGCTACTCAGGAGGCTGAGATCTGAGAATCGCGGTTCAAAGCCAGCCCGGGCAGGAAAGACCGAGAGACTCCTATCTCCAATAAACCACTAGAAAACCGGAAGTGGCGCTGTAGCTCAAGTGGTAGAGCGCTCGCCTTGAGCTGAAGAGCTGAGGGACAGCACCCAGGCCCAGAGTTCAAGCCCTATGACCGACAAAACAAAAACAAAAACACTCAGAAAACTGCAAGTGGCGCTGTGGCTCAAGTGGTAGAGTGCTCACCTTGAGTTGAAGAGTTGAGGGTCAGTCCCCAGGCCCAGAGTTCAAGCCCCATGACCGACAAAAAAAAAAAAAAGATGCTTGCACCGTCCTTTATGTGTTTAATTTTTTTTCCTATGCTTGCTTTGAATTTATAGAGAATCAGTTCTCAACATAACCACACACACACACACACACCACTTCCCCTCCAGTTCTGCCATGACAGTGCAATCAGTTGCTCTGGAGAGGGATCAGTTTTAGTTTTCTTTTACCCTCTTTTCCCCCATTGCTGGGGATCAAACCCAAGCCTTTGTACATGCTACATAAGCACTCTACCACTGATTTCTACCTCCCTTCTTGTTTACTTTTAGTTTTAGAAGTCATTATATTGAATTGCAAGCATTGAAATGTTGTAATTAGAGGAAGAAGAGCTTGGTTCTGAACATTCTTTATTCTTATTAGCATAGGAGGTCAAAATTACATATACCAGATGTGTTCAGCTCCCTACACCAACAATCTAAGGTGTCACACTGAAGTTTTCTACACGCTCTTGAAAACTGGCACGTGGTATTTGAGGATTTAGGGTTTAGGGAGCCACAGAGCTAATAATAACATGGACTGAGCCAGCTGGAATGCAGCAAACTACAGGTCAGGAACATGGCTACCTCGTTTATCTCCATGTGTACCAGTTAGCCCATCAAAGAAAGACATCAGAGTAGCCTTATCTTTCTAAAAAAAAATTAAGCAATTTTTCTACTTTAAAATGAGAATTAAGATGGTCTTAAAACAGGTACAAGGATACAAATAACCGTAAGTGCATTTGTCATCACAACCCCATGGTGGTTGCCTAGTACTGTGAAGACAGCTTGAGAGACACATCAAAAGCTCCTCATCCATCATCCATTCCTTCCTTCTAGAGCATGAGCATGAGATGCTTCCACTGGTCATTTCTAAGAAGCTGAGAAAAAGATTTGCTTTAAGTAGATCCAAAGACAAAGCTGATATGATGCAGATACCCCAGAATAAGGCTTCCTAAGTGATATCTCACCTTCCTCACTTTGGCCTTAAATAGCTATAATTTCTTCCCTCATATTCTCAGTTTTTAACATTCTAAAAACAGAATCTTGCCCCCATAGCAAAAAAAAAAAAAAAACCTTTGTTTAGGTCTTCTCATTTTTTTTTCTGGGAAGTGGAGTTGAAGTGAGACTCCTCCTCTAGTCATTTTCTAGTATGAAAAATCACACATCTCCAGAAGGTGAAGGGCTTTTGTGAGCTTCAAAATATATTTTCCCCAAAGATAATTATTATAGCTACATCCCTAAGCCAGCAATTAGGTATCCTTGTATCTGACACTTAGCACTGAGAAATACTAATCTGCAATAATGCTCCCCTTTTGTGAAAGACTATATTGCTTCAGCTGTTTTTGTTTTAAAGGAAGGAATTGTACCAGTGTTTATTCTAATTAAAAAAGGCCTAAGGGCTCCATGGATCAGAGCCCTAGTGCCATATCAGATAAAGTATAGATCCCCACCCCCACTTCTCCCCAGCTCTCCCAGACTTTTCTGAGAAAATTTTTATTTTCCTAGTTATACTCCAAAAACAGATCTAGATTTGGGACTTACCAGTTGTTGTTATTTTCATCCTGTTTATTTAGTATGCCCATTCCCCCTGTATTTTCTGTGTTTAGGATCCATTTCTTGAGATTAATAGTTGAGGAATGAGATTATCTTTAAAATAATCTAAGGCCAAAGCAATCAGTGTTCATTGGGAAGAGTTTAAAACAAAGACTGGGGGGCGGGGGTCAGGGGTGTGACCCAAGTGGTAGAATTCAATCCCCAGTGGGTGGAGGAATTACTTCAGCTGAGAATTCAGTTGGACTCTGAAACTTTTCTAATTATTACTCTGTAGTTACAGTAAGAAGTGATCTTCTCAATTGTTTTTAAACTCTTTTTTACATAATAATTAGTCTAAACCTTACCCAGTAGTCTAAATATTAAGTAAGACATTGTGCCTTCATGAAATACTGAGATGCCTCATGAAATTAATTGTTCCATTAGATACTTTTTTCTTCTCTTTCAATTTGAGTATCTTTCTCAACCTGGTACTTTTCCAAACCATTGGAAAATTATTTTCTCATATTTCCCCTTTTAAAAAATAGGTGTTGTAATTTCCATAAACACCAGTTTTATTTGAAAGTAATTGCCTGTATAATACAAGTTGGCAACTTTTAAAGTTTGGTTCTTGGTCTTTCTGCATTGGAATTGCCTAGATGTCTGGTCCTGAGCCCAGGAATTCACATTTTAGTGAGCTTCCAAGTAGTAATTTTGCACATTCAGATATATGAATTACAAAATTGAGCTCTCGTACATTTCTGAATGCAAAAAGGCAAAGCTGTTTAATTCCTGTGCAATTTTTCTTGTTTTAATTAACCACTGACAGTATCCTTCAATTTTAGCAATATATGGAATTTATAATTTTCATAGAAGAATTGTCTATCTCTGTGCATATAGACTCAGAAAAAAAAAGACCCACGTAATGTTATCTTCTATGCCAGAGAGATTGGACATACAGGAAGATAAGGAATGAGCATGGTGGTTTGGATAAGATAATGGTAGAATCATACTGAATATATCCATCTGTTCCATGACAGAAGAGCTGGGAAGGTAAGAATGGTGAGGGCAGCTGCAAGAACCATGACCGGTTCCTGGTACAATGAGAGATACTGCCATTGCCCTTGCTGATGCAGCCCCTCACACAGGCCAGACCCTTAGTAGCACCATGCAGAGACCCAGAAAATCCTACCCCGTCACCATAGTCCTTTAACTTTCCTGTTGTCTTTTACAGATCCATGACTCAGGGCCCGCAGACAGCACAGTCCAGTTCATCTTCTATCAGCCTATCATCCATCGATGGAGAGAGACAGATTTCTTTCCTTGCTCAGCAACCTGTGGAGGAGGTAATGGTGATTCCTTAACATAGAAGCTGTAAGTTTCTTCAAGAAAAGCTAGGCTTTATGAGAATGAAGGAAGTAGGTGCTGTGATGGATCCCATCCCTTCTCAATGGAGCCAAATCCGGAGGCCTCCTGTAGGGCAGTGGAGATGCCCCAGAAGGTTTTTCTGTAGTCTCATTAGGAGACTTTCCTTCATTTCATGAAAAGCCAGGAATAATAATATCATCATTTGGCGACAGCATTGTCCTGAGGCACTTCCATTCATTTAAGAATAAACTGCTGTGGTTGAGGTGAAGTCATGAAGAGTGTTTGTCAGACTTAATTAGAGGAAATAGTTTTCTACCAGAAAAAAAAATCACCCCATTGTAGACTAAAACTCAGATTTTTTTCATCTATACTTCCTTATTCATGCACAAATTTGCTTTAGAAATCAATTAAAAGGCATCTCTCCGAAAGAGTCACAAAATGAATTTCTGTCTTCATTCTTTCCATCTGTATTATGGGACAGCATTTTGTGTGTCTGGAAAAGGTTTCTAGTTCCAATTCTCTGCTCCTCATAATTATAATGGTTATATAATATTGTTTGAGCTGTTTTAAAATTATTTATTTATTTATAGCAGATCACTTACTTCATTTCAACTTTCATACTATTATAATATGATAAATAATTTAATACCTAAGTGTTTTTTCTCCATTTAAGCTATTTGCTTGGAATGAATATCTAGAAGTGAAGTTTCTAGACACAATTTTGTGGCTATTGATATATATATATATATATATATATATATATATATATTACCAAATTCTTTTCACAAAAGTAATAAGCGGTATATGACCATATTAGATTGATTGCTAACTTTGCAGCTTTCTTTTAAATTTTCTTAGTGTGCATAAAATTATCCATATATTCCCTTGAAAATTAGTGCATCAGGTAAGTTCTCATTCTTCATGGAATCTGGTTAATTGGATGACTTTATTTTTAATTTGTTTTTATTTTCTCTAAATAGGTGTACAGTGGGCTTTTATTTCTACATATCAGTTCATGAGTACAATTCCTCTTGATAACAGTGAATAGTTCATCTACACAAGTATCACTAAATTAATTTGACAAGAGATAAATGATAGTACTACAAAATTGGGACAAATAATGGTTCATGAATTTTTATAAAACAGAAATATGATGCAGTTCACCTTTCTAAGTTTATTTAAGAATAAACTTCCAATTTCTCTGATGGTTCATGGGAAAATATTACTTTTATATATCTAGTAAACCTAGCACAGAAAATAGTTTCAACAAATTGTATGAAACCGTAAAATTGCAGTCTACATATTGTAAGGCTTTAGGATGGATGGATATGCTGTGATACAAGGTTATAAACATGTCATCAATTTTTAGATCAATACATTTCTAGAAAACAAAAAAAGTAAGAAATCTACGTTTGTAAATGTATCCCTTCTTGAGAATAGTAATTCTGCACACAATGGCACAGAGCTATTGTGCATTTACAATCTCAGTAACTTAAACAATAGTTCAATATACAATAAGGCAACTAATGTTACATTAATGAACATCCAAGTCCTTTAAGCTTCATTTTCCTCAAATTTTAAAGTAGAACTAATCCTTGACTGGAGGCTTGGCTCAGTGGTAGAGCACCTGCCTAGCAAGCAAGCATATGGCTTCGGTTGAAACCCCATAGTTTTCACATGTTTTCAGTATCAAACCTTAAGTCAATGGAAATCTTACTAGCATAAAGGAAACTTGTTGTCAATTAAGTTGTAGGGATATAAAGACTAGCCTTCCTCTCACTTCATGAACAGTTTGAAAATTAATGAAATGATCTATAAGTTAACCTTCCATGTTTCTGGTTCCGGATTCAGCTGGTTGGTCATTTTGCCTAGTAGGGAGAATTATTACTCCAAGATATCTTGTGGAACCTCAGAACACATTCTCTGACTATTGTGGTTATTTGCATCATTTTATTTCTGGATTTTGCTTCATGCCTTTATAGATGAGCTTCAAAGCAATGGGTTTAGGTTGACAAATTATCATTTTGACAAAATCATAATCTCATATTTATAATTCATTTATTATTTGTGCTGTAATTTATTTTTTCTACAATTATTTTTACTAATAATAAATTCTGTTCCTGAGTAGAAATTTCTATATAGAATGCTATAAAAATTTTTATCTCACTCTAAAAATAGCTGTTTTGGAATACAATAGATCTGAAAAGAAAAGTAGTACATTTACTTATCTAAAATATCATTTGCTCCTTGATATTTTCAATAATTCGAAAAAGTAAATGGAACACATGTTCCTACCCATTGCTTTCATAACTTCCCATGCTTTTCATCTTTCCAGTAGACATTTAAAAGATCTTTTTTTAGATCTTTAATGAACAATTAATTCTTGTGGGTGGTCTAAGAACACAGGCTCAAGCCAGGAAATCTGGCTTAAAGCCTCCTTCTGATTTCCTAAAATCCTTTGCAAGTCCCTTAACAATTTAAATCTTGCTTCTTAATACATATTTAATGATAATAGTACTTACCTCCATGCCAGAGAGCACATATTTGGGGGACTGGTTAAGATTGTAGAATACAACTGTTTTAGTTCTTTATATACACTTGCTTTACACTCCAAGAACCTAAGCCACAAACCTAAGTCACTCGAAATGGATAATAAGACAGTAAGAAAGTAGATTAAAAATAAAACACATTAAGTCTAAAATTAAGCATGACAGCAATTTCATAGAAAAGATTTCTGTAAGCAATGTAAATTAGTAGACAGAAATATAGACTAAAGACTTAATATAAAGAGAAATGACTAAATATGCTGGGGAAAGCAAAAGCTGAACAGTAGAGGAAGGTTTTTGGTTATTAGAAGAATTTTTTATTATTGCTGTTACTCTTATTACTATTATTGAATTTGTATTATCTTTAAGTAGTTATACAAAGTAGTTGCCATTAATCAAAACAGTTTATAAATACAATGCATCTTGATCAATGTCACCCCTTTCAACATTCTCACTCATCTCCCCTCTACCTAGCCTTTTTAAATTTTAATTTTAAACATAAACGTTTCCATGCCTTTCCATTTCTTTACAGATTGTACAGTATCATTCTTTCTGAAAATATAGTATCTGTTCTTATCAGAGTTATACTTGACTTCTGTAAAGAAACAAGATTCCTGCTATCTACTGTTAGGATCTTAATTGTTCCTTTATCCAGCTCAACCCATTCAGGTCAAATTTAGGCAAAGTTATGTTGCCTGGTAGTTGGCAGGACTTTACCCTATGTTATATACTCCACCTACCCCATTGTCCAAAGGAGAAATGTTGGGGTGTATTGTACTTAATTAATTTACTTATTTGACAGTTTAATCCTGCTAGTACCAGTTGCTAAAAAAAGCAATTGAACATCCTTCAATAAACTGGTTGGTTAAAAAAAAAAAAAAAACACTGATGGCCTCTTTTGGATCTAGACTTCTGTGTTCTGTTTTTATATTATTCAAAAGCAACAGATTATTATAGACTTGTAATCTCCCTCTGCCCTTATATAATTCAATCCCTATAACACAATTTCATTGCTAAAATGAGTAGATTACTTGAGAAAATACAGTATTTGAGGCCTGCAAAACTTAATAAGCCTTTCAACTATGTGTCTTTTTTTTTCCTGGAAATGATGGGGGCATCAGGGCATTATTTCCATTAATGTGAAATGGCCAAAACATCCTAAAGAAGTATAATGCACTGGCATGGCTTTGAAACCTGTCTGGTGGGTTTGATATTTACAGGTTACCAGCTGACATCGGCTGAGTGTTATGATCTCCGGAGCAACCGTGTAGTTGCGGATCAGTACTGTCACTATTACCCAGAGAATATCAAGCCCAAACCCAAGCTTCAGGAGTGCAACTTGGATCCTTGTCCAGCCAGGTCAGTCACGTGTACTGCTTCATTTATTATAAATGTAAATCATGGGGCTGGGAATGTGGCTTAGAGGTAGAGTGCTTGCCTAGCATGCATGAAGCCCTGGGTTTGAAAAAGCTGGAAGTGATGCTGTGGCTTAAATGATAGAGTACTAGTCTTAAGCAAAGAAGCTCAAAAATAGTGCCCAGGCCCTGAGTTCAAGCCCCAGGACTGGCAAAAACTAATGTAACTCATATTCCTAAGCTTAAGTTAAAGTGAATTGTAATTGAAAATAAATCATGAGTACTGCTGTCCAGTGTCTATTCCTAATTATATGTGACTAGTATCCCTGGCCCTGGGTCTTCTGACTGTGTGATGGTATTTCAAAACTATGGATCTTGCTTTTGTGAAGTGAAAGGTAAAATCACTTTCATCCTTATAGCCATTGTCTCTTCTGATTTCTTTTCATTCTGATTTCTTGTTTCTTTTCTTTCAAGGTCCAGGCCAGTGAAGAACTTCATGTTCTTAACTAATGTGCTGGCATAATGTTCTTAGTATTCTTTCCATTTAGTCCCTGTCTCTGATCAGGGACATGGCAGACCATATTTCATGGTCATAGCTGATTTGTTCTAGCCTAATTAATCCATGCCAATTAATAACAGAGTCAGAGCCAGATTTACACAGTTCTATCTGTGAACAAAATTGGCCTTTGTGAAATAGAAAGCAGGACTTATTTCCGTGCTCAGATATTTTAATACCCTTTTAATTAGGAGCTTTAAACGTTGAAACACAATACTTACACACATCATTGTTTGCTGTTTGGAAATCAAATCAAATTGGCTTTCCTATTATTTGCAGCAACAAAAATCAGCCTGATAAATGAAATATCTTAGATGATGGGTAATCATGGAAGTCCAAGTGAAGAATTGTTTCATGGATGTAATACTTGCCTTGGCACTTTTGCAATACTTGCTAGCGCTTCTTTTTCCTAACAGCTTAACTTTTCAGACTGGATCTAAGAAAAATCTTCCCCTACAAAAGTAAGCAATAAGCATGAAGACTAAAAGGCAAAGCATCTTTTTGTAAATTCCTTAAATTCTGAAAAACACTTCATTGTTTGTTTTTTAAGCCAGAGCATCCTAGTTTTATGAGAACCAATCGCAAGGGTTCAAATACTATATGAGCTTATGGGGATGCAAATTATTCTGTGTTCGTATTATAAGCAATGCAGTTTTATTCTATCTTTCCCATATTTTTAAAGTCTACATTCTTCTGCTCCTTCAACCTTATCTTCATGAATTCTAAGTTCTATGTGGGATGTGAAATTGCTATCTTTAATTAATGTTAAGGTCCCATATGACCTTCCTTATGAAAGTGAATTCAATAAAGGAAGAGGAAATAATAGATGTCTTATCGCTCTAAATTCTAGTGGATGTGAAATTTAGCTTGATGCTATGCCAGAATATTAGATATTAAAAGTTGAATATGAATTCAAAACTAAGTAAGGTGTTCAAATTTTCTTGATTTATTTTAGAACTATTTAACTTTCAAAATAATCTTAGCCATGATAATAATTCAAATATGATAATAATTAAAACTATTAGGATTTGATAATGGTTAGAATTCTTCTATTTGTAAACTTTTATCAATATCTGTAACAAGAAGACAAGGTGAAGCAAGCATATTTATACCAATTTTGATGGGCCAACTCAACCACAGGAAGACTTAGAAACTTTTATAAACATTCCCATGAAAATGTAAATGCGCATTTCTAGGTAAAATGAAGGAGTCATTCGCCATGATTCCATAAATCTTTTTCCCTACTGGGTAAAAAATACTTCATTGAACACAAATAGCTATAGAAGACAGATATGAACTAGAAGTACATTTTTTGGTAATCTAAAGAAAATGCTTATATTCAGAAAATTTTTACTCATTGTTTCTGGCCTCTGGTTTTTACCCATTCTTCTCTGTGGGAGTGGCATTTTTGGCTCATATGTTATTATCCAAAAGCAAAAGACTCCGTGGAAAGAAGTCTGTCTGAGAAATTTATGCTTTTTCTATGTCCTGTGTTATTTTAAAACATCTAATACAGCACATGTATAAATGTTAGGACAGGTGGCTATTTTAAAAAAAGAAGAAGAAAGAAAAGTGAGAAAAGGAAAAAGAAAAAAAGAAGTTGGAGGCAAATGTCAGAATGTAGCCTTTTATTGAAGAAGTAATTAGACAAAGCTGTAAAAATTAAGACTTACCAATAAGAGAGACTTAAGAGAAAGCTGCCTTAGGAAATGGAGACACAGTACTCTGAGGTAAAGGCAATTCAGGAATTGCTTTGAAAATGAGCTCTTTTTTTTTAACCTGGTATAAGCAGTTTCTGAGTTTCAACAGAAAAAGAGAAGAAAAGGTCTGAGGAGTGTAGACAGAAGAAACTCTAGGTCTCTTCTCCCATCAGACAGCAGAATCAGATCTTCTAATTACAGATTTAACAGTCTAGTAGCAGAATCAAGATTGACACAACACCAAACAACATTTCTGTTTCCCAAATTAGAAATTCTCAAAGGTGAAAATATACATACTTTTAGTACAAAGATAGTTTTGCATTTCAAAAACCTGCTAGTGGGGCAAAATAGTGCATGCTGGTAATTGCTACCCTTGGTAGGTGGAAGCAGGAAGATTATGAGTTTGAAGCTAGCCTGGGCTACATAACAAGTCCTAAGCTAGCTATATAATGAAACCCTGTCTCCCAGAAACAACCATCAGAGTATTATATCCAGCCATCAGAGTATTTGTTTATTCTGGGTCTATTGTAATACACAGAAACAAAATCCCGTTCAAAAAGCCATGTTTATTCCATTTCAAGGTAAAGAAGTATAATGAATAGCAAAAATGGCACCAAATATTTTGGCAACCTTAGTTTATTACTTTGTCCCTCAGGGCCTCCATTTTTCATCAATACAAGAGAGATGAAAAGATTGGTCATTGAATTACTGGCTTTCAAACTGTGCCTTTAAAGCCTAATGTTCCATAAAGTTGTTTGACTAAATTTTATTTTACATATTTTAAAGCAAGAATTCATAAAAGATATAGTCAAACATGTTGAACAACCAGTCTTCACTAATTAAAGATAAGCTATATTGCAAAAAAGTGCACACTTTTTTGCAAAATAAATACTTTTAGCTCTTACCAACCTCTCCCATTTTTTGTCTAGTTGGAAAATTAAGTATCTTAAGATTATAGGAGGAAGTATTAAAATTGTTAACATAGCAAATTTCTCTGTGATCATAGAATTTTCTCATTACAATAGATCTAAACAATAAGCTGGACTAAAATGGTGGGTATGACCACTGTTAGCCATAATCCCTGCTACCTATTTTTTATTTTCTTACATTCATTATTATCATTATTTTGCTTTCCAATAATTAAAATCCATACATTTCATTGAATTATCTAGCCCCATCTAAATCTCAACAGTGTCAAGTTTATATATTATAGTTTTATATGTCATGTAAGAGCCTTTCGATAACTAAACCATTACTAAATCACTGTTTATTCTCATGCCTTTATCCTTCCAACTTCCATCTCATTGCTTGTAAACATGTCATTATTTCAGTTTGAGGAAATTCGCAAAATTTCTAAACTCATGCACAATGTTTGTGAATTGTCCTAATTCAATACAGTTCTTAGGGAGGCCTAGCTTACCAGTGGTGTGGAATACTCAAGACTCCCACCCCAGGCACTCTGTCCTATTTTGATTTGCTCTTCTTTTTGTTGTTGTTGTTGTTTCACTTTCTCTCATTTGCTTCCCTTTCTTAATAATAGTAAATCTCCTGATGGCAATGATTGTAAATGGTAAGAGATTTTTGAACCTGAGGAGACCTTTCACATCACAGCCTATTTTCTTTTCTGAATGTTCACTTAGAAATCTTGATAAGTTCAAAGGTTAGATGAACTGGGCTCCAGAGGCTCAAGCCTACAATCCTAGCTACTTATGAGTCTGATATTTGAAGATTGGGGTTCAAAGCCAGCCAAGGCAGAAAAGCCTATGAGACTCATCTCTACAATTCACCACCCAAAAGCTAGAAGTGGAGCTTTAGCTCAAGTAGTGGAGAACTAGCCTTGAGCACAAATGCTCAGGGACAGCACCCAGGCCCTGAGTTCAAGCCCCAGAACCAGCACAAAATAAACAAAAAACAAAAATTGAAAACAACAAAACTCACTAATAATCCCCACTACACCCAGATAAACACTGTCACTGCTTTCGCCGTGTTTCTTTCCAGTCTTGTCCATAGCTCATGGAAGAGATGAGATCATACTGTATAAAGTTAATACCTGGAACTCAGAAATTTAGCGTTCTTTCTTTCTACTCTTCTCCAAGCAAGCCTGACCATCCATGACATGTAGTAACTTGAGGTTTTTTGCTGGGGTAGGAATTTAAGATCATTGCACTATAAAACCAATGATTGAGCCTCCCTGACTTCCTATGCTTTCCACCCAGGAAGACTTTATTGTTCTCGGCTAGTGTCATTTATGAAGTTATTTTTACAAAGTGATAAAATACCTAGTTTCCTAGCCAAAAGTAGTGTCGAAAAGAGAGGCAACACTAAAGCTAAGGGAAGTAAAATGAAAATGAGTTATAAAGGTTTAGTGACTTTTAGCTAAAATGAATACTGTTTTTCAATGGCAGTTAAGAGCTATGACATCACTATGTGACCATATGCTCGGTACATTCAGGTGGTCTTCCCAGTTTGGGTAGTCTCAGAAATCCAGAGACACGCCTCTCCTCTGTGTCAGGGATCTACTACAGATTTACTTTTCTGCTTTATACTTTTACCACAAAAATTTCCCCCCATGTAACTATGACCTTTGGGATCCTTTCAAATATAAAATCTTATGCCTATGGTTACCATGTAGTAATTATCTTACAAAAAGGGGAGCATTTTAGAAATATGGGCAGCAACTTTTGTTGCTTACATGAAAAGGTCAAGTCCATTATAAAGCCAGAAAGCCTCCAGGTGTATGCCTACGGT